ATGCCCAAAACCTTGAATATCTCATATAATTTTTACATCCCAGGTAACCCTCAGAGATATGCCCCATGTTGGTCGCTTTAAGATGACAAGTAACAGGCACCAATGGTTCTCTGTAAGCGACTGTCCTTCACACTGACACATTCTCAACCGTAAGAATCTCTGACTTTCAAATCATTTTTCATATCTTGCCTTGACCTTGAAAATGCATTGCATGGGGACAAGTCAGCAATTAGACAGGCCTACCAGGTGGGGTTTTATATGATAAAAAACTAAGCCAACCTACTATGAATAAGAGGCTAATCAAACTATACTTTGGCTTCTTACTCCAAAAAAATGCTTTGAGTTACATTAAGATATGAGCACCACGAACAGGTAAGGCCGCTCATCTTGTACTGCCCGCTTTAAGGTACAAAAAGTGGGGACTTTTTTTTTTTTGCATTAGTGTGGCATGGGTGGGCATGTCTGAGGGCCAGCTGGATTTTGGATTTTCTCCTGCGATCCCAGCTGGTGCACCTGCTCTGAGTCAAGTTGAAAGGGTTAAAATGCACCCATTGTAAGGAAACATAGGGAGAGTGAAAACAGCTTGTAGATATGTACATGCTGTCACTCTCTAAAGTATTTATTCAGCAATGTACCGTTTGCATGTATGCAAGGTCAGTTAATATATTGTTTTCAGATCAGGTGAAGTGTAAAATCCTTCATGTACGGGAAAAAAAGTAATCGATCTGTATCTCCAATGTGTCTCTATATCAAGACAGCCTGGCTCTGCGTCATGTTCTACAATTATGCTGCATATAAGATAGTGTAGCTGTTGTGCCATTATAACACCTAGCCATGCATTTCATTTTGATAACCTCTCCCTTGCCTAATGCATATAACTGTGTTATGGTTTTGCATAGACAAATACCACCATGGGACTAATGTTTGTGTCAACAAGTGAATGAACTGAGAGGCATTGTGTTCCCGCATGCAGTAGTTGCACCTCTATGCAGCTGAGAGAAGAATATGACTTCCTCATAGATAATTTGGAGGCAAAGAAACCACACTGCTCTGGATAATATTCAGTACAATGCCGTTATTTATTTGTGACAGACTAGGATCATTTGGTCATAACTACAGCTTTTCTATAATTTTTCACCAAAACTCTGCCTGTTTTTTTTTTTCTGAGCATAGTCTTTTATTGTCATTGACTAATCTTAATCAAACACGAGGCTTGTTTAAATTAAAGTATCCCTAACCGTTAAATATAGATATTGTACCTGCAGCAAATGTGAAGATCGCACCTCAGTAAATACAGTGCACACAAAACAAAATGGAAATCTACAAGAGAGAACTCAGAGCGATTCTACTTGCAGAATAGAGGAAACAGTCTCCTTTTCAACCACATCTGAGGTCATTGGTAGTCTTTTCATTCTCTGAAAACTCTTCCCACTTGATGGCCTCCAACATTTTTCTTTCTGCAGCCTGTTTATCTTCAAACAAATTCAAGTTCAGACGCCCCTCTGCAACCCTCTGCAAACTCTTGACCCAGTGAAATTTGTTAATCTCTTAAACCCCCTGAACCCCTTTCCTCCTCTGCGGCATTTCATCCTTTTATTCTCCGCAGTTTCTATCCATCTGGGACGCCTTCACCAACTGCAACATCTCACTGTAAAGGCTTTAACACCTCTTACTTTCTGGAATCTTGAATCCTCCCAAGACATTTCTCTGACTATCTTGAAGCCATAGTCACAATTTGTGTTTCATACATAAGAAACAGTATAAGTCACAGAAGAGTTTGAAGACTTTGTGCACAGAGAGACACATAAACACACACAGGCAAGCAACCCTATTCTAAGCAGCAACAGACATCAAGTAGGGAGATTATGGAGGGAGCTGTGTCAATGTGTCAGTGTGTGAGTGTTTCCTCTGTCTCTCTCTCTCTCTCTCTTTCTCTCTCTCTCTCCCTGTCTCTCTCCATCCATCTCTCCCACTTACACCCCCTCCCCTTTCTGAAACAAAATGGCCAGATGGCTTCCAATCCTACATGCTAATCCACAACACACAGACTGTAGCTCTGACACACCTACCACAAGACTACTGCTCAGCTTTAGACAGCTATGCCCTTAAACACACACAAACACCCCACATGAGGCCACTGCACATTTATAAACTGTCAACAAGAGTCCTAAACGATAACTACTCTGAACAATAGAAGCATAACTCATCCAGACTAAGTCCTCAACAGATGGAGGCCTACTTATATGTGTTGTGTCCTGCTATCATATTTCAGGCAGGCCAGTTAGCAGGCTGCGAGCCAAGATGAGGTTCTGTGTCTACTGCTTTTGTTAGCTGAGGTGAGGTAAGAGAAGCTGCGTGTGTTGAGTTACACTGGCCAGTGGAAAACATGGGGAAGCCCAGCACTGCACGTTAAGCCATGGAGACATACAGGCAGACATACTGAAAAAAGAAATGTTGCACATTGCTTCAGTGTCCAAATAAAGTTCTGCTTATATTATTCGTGGTCTGTGACTATGCTTATGTGTGGTGGCATAAAAGATATTAACCACTTCATTGAGGTCACACATGTGTGTTGGCAGATTTAAGTAAAAACATAAATAAAACAAATAATAAATGGAACATCTACTAGCACATTTATCCAAGTGGCTATGAGATAAGGATAAGGTCCTGGTAGGCTCCTCAATAATACCTTTTCTAGCATTGCACAAGATACCTGCCTGGCAAATGGACTTAGAATAAAACGATTCATTATTTAAGCAAAATGTCACATTTCTTTGGTGAAGCAGGAAAAGCCATATACTCATTTATTACTGATTATTAATCTAAATGTAGCTTTCGTATCTCTTTTCTGTGATGATTTAGTAAGTGGCTTTCTCTCCACGTTTCCCTCCCTTCAATCTTCAAAGATAATTCCATTTTATGCTAGGTGTTCACGGAAATTATATGATTTAAGTACTGGTAGTTTTGGTTATGCGAGTTGTTATGACAAGTGTCAGTCAGCATAAAAAGCCAAGCCACAATAAGCTTCCATTTTGCCTGCACAATTCATGTTTACACTATAAAGAGTACACTTTAGGTTGAAGTTTTACTTTAATCTTTAGTAAAACAGAACACACATACACAGTAGACCAGACCAGACACATTATCACCTTTTCACTGGCAACATGAGATGTGAGCTTTCTTTGCAAATATAAAATTTTCATGAGGTGCACGTAACCTATACAGAGACAAAGGCCCATAAGTATACTCTAAACTGATGGTAAGCTGCTCCACCCAGACCCATAGTGAAATACAAAATACAGAGATATTAATCGTCCATTTGTGTGTAACAGACCTTTCTGGATAAAGGTGTGATGAATATATAATGCTTGAGGCATGTGGAGCACAGCGTCTAAGCCCCAGAGCAGAGGCCAATTATCCAGCAATGGTTTCACAGATCCGTTAAACAGCGGGATGTATACATACCAAATACTAATGGTGTATCACAGCATCGCTGTCTGATTGTGTCTCTGCCTTCTGAGTGTGACACTGCATTAGACTACTACTGTAGGCCTGGTGTCTTTCCTGCCAAGCCCAATGCTGTGTAAGGTGCTGTACTGGCACAAATTATTTTATGCACTGATAAATTCCTAATGGATTTCAGTTAGAAACTATAAATCAGATGATCAAATGTCATATTATTAGGGGACCAAGGAGTGGCCATGACAGTTTATGTTTCAGCCACCTGATATTTCCACACAAAAAGATAGCAGTAAACACAACACAAACCCTTGGATGAACACAGTCAATGAAGACTGGTGTACAGTCATGGTGTTGGATGTCGTGACAGATAGATTAGTGGTGAATAGAAGGGCATTAATCACATCTTTATCAATAAAACAGGCCAATGTTCAAAGGGAATAGCATCTTCAGTGTCCCATCCCCCAATTCCCCTCTACAATCATCTCACCCTCCCTCGATCACTGACATGACTCCCTAACATCCCTGTTTCACGAGACACCCAGACAACAGGTCTCCCATCAGGCCCTGCTTCTCACAAACCGGAGGATGACTGTGCTTCCTGGGAGAGGAATCTACCCGTCCCTCTGCATTAGCTCTGACACCACAATCTAAATGAGCAGAGGTGGTGGGGAGACACATTCAGCTCGTACCGTAGCCCATCCTTCCATGCTCCTCCACCACCGATGGCTGTGGGAGAATCCGAGGTAGAATAGCTTTCACAGGACCGGCCCCCACCCCCACTCCGATCCCCAAAGAAGTCAGGTGACCAGATGTTGTATATCTCCCTGTCACTACAGCCGCCATGAAACTGCTGCACACATCCATGTTAAAGCCAGGAGACAGAGACACGTCTCTGCTCTGTGTGTGTGTGTGTGTGTGTGTGTGTGGTCATTGAAAAGCAGAAATGGAAATGAAAAAAGACATTTCTTCATGAAACCCTCCCTAGAAAGGCAAAAGAGAATCCATCAGCATTTCATCCCCCATCCACAGCATATATAGCTCTGATCCATCCGTCAGCCTCGGGTCTACAGACCCAAAATAGCATTGCTTCTTTTTTGTTCCTCTGTTGCCACTGCAGCTGCTGCATTTCTCCAGGACTGACACACACACACACACACACACACACACACACAGACATACAGGCCTTTACAAACGCCACCATTGATTCTAACACCTCCCCATCAATAAAGATGCTATTTGTGAGGCACAAGGGGGTGCATACAGAGACGATGTGATGCAGAGGGGGGATATGGTCATACAAAACATTTCCTGACCATCTGATGCAGGCATCCATTTCCATCTCGCCCTCATGGACGGACTGCTGATAAAACAGCTGCCTCCTTAGCAGGGCAGAATGCAGAGTGGAAGAAGAAAAAAAGAAGCTACAAAGCACCCCTACATACACAGCCACCCCCTCCTCCTCCTCCTCTCCTCTCCTCTCCTCCCTCCTCTGCCTCCCCTCTCCACATCCCATATTGCATACACAGAGAGGGAATTACCTGAAATATGTCTTCACATTCTCTTGGTCAGTGTTTCGCCTTTGAGCCAGGAGCTCTGGTAGATTCATCGTCAATCGCACAGTCCTAATGACAGTTTAAAGGCAGGATTGCCATTCTCTTGTCAGACCAGTTCCTGACCCTAAAAGCAAGCTTGTTCGGCAGGCTGGATGCTTCACTGGCTGCTCACTGTTCCCTAGCCCATGATGTCATCCACCCAGCTCTGCCCATTGGTTGAGAGGCTGAATATTAATGCAGGCAGTAGGTCTGGGGGAGGAGGCAGCCAACGGGCAGACAGAGTTGGTTTTCAGTTTGACAGAACAAACCTGCTGAGTGAGAAGGCCAGGAGGGAGGGATTGTATGTCCAGCTTAAGAGCTTTTCCTTTGCAGACTTGTAACGCAGTGGTCTACGTTGTTAACATCTTAATACTACGCAGAGGTACATCTTGACATGACAGCTGCAAATGTAACTGGAACAGTTTTTGCAAAGGTGGGTTTTTAATGTGCAGAATTTAAACTGACAAAGCTCTTAGAGGGCTGTGTTTGATGCACTGGTTCCTCTAAAAGAGTAACAGTTTCACAATGTATAGACCACATGAAAGAATAGGCTACAGCATATGAGTGAGTAAATAGTAAAAATAAATAAATAAATAAATATACAATAATAACTTGCTACTACATAAGTAATGAGTACAGAAAGCAGTAAACAGAATCTGTAATGGAATAGTATGAATATATAGAAATGTAATAAATAGAATCATCTGTCAATTCAGGCTACTGATGTAAAGTTTTCATTTTTACAGGTAGATACTGCTAGTATATTTAAGAAACTCATCCCACTGCCTATCATCTATTTCTTAAGATGTTTAAGATTTCACAAGCTAGTTTATGACTTCGTAATAGGCCCTGAATTCAGAAGCACATAATATTTTGTTTCCCTATGAACATATACTGGTTCTCTGGAATATTGATATGACAAAGATTCCCTACTGCTATAAGGTAATATGTGAGTGTTGATGTGAGGCTGTAATGCTACATTTTCACCTGAATGATAAATTAATTTATATAATATATAAGTAGCGTAAAGTAAGGCTCTGACAAAATGTTTAATTTATTTCACTGATTTTATCAGGCCAAGTTTCCACATTTGGAAATACACCAAATTATACAAAAATGTAAATCTATGTATTGTCCTGAATGTTAAGATTTATCTGCCAAAGACCTATGGATTTCTTATTTCAGAGCATAAATTTGACTCCGGGTTCATAAGCAGGCGGAGACGACAACCAAAATACTCACTGCGTTTGCCCTAATTTGCCTATGATGTCATCTTTTTCCTCTACCTCACCTGTGATTGGCTGCCTAGCACAGCATCTGCTCAGTCTCATGGCTAGTGCTTCTAACCCAAGGTGGAGGCCTATCTGAAGCTCTGTGAATCATGGCTGGTTGTCCTGACAACCCCTGTAATGTCGATTCCTTGTTGGAGAGTAATATGGCTGTTCTGTGACAGTGTTCGCTCAAATGGAGATCCTTATGACTGCAAGAGGACAATGTCCCTTATAATGTTGTATTCACATCAGAAGGGGGCCTTTGTGATTTTGAGTTAATAAATTGCAATTACATTTAATGAGAAACTCAAGAAAAACAATTGAGATTAAAGAATTAGACAATCCATTTTGGTAAAAATCATATGACACTTTCTGAAGTCTTGGGGATTTTAAATATATAACAAATCAGGAAAACTACAATCTTTTTTTATTTGACATTTTTTTCTCCAGCTTTGCAGGCACGCACATGTTGCAAAAGCAAGACCTGATTAAACCCTGCCAACAGGAAAGAGAAATGCAAATGTGAATTTAGTTCAGCAGTGCAATGCAAAAATTTGAAAGCAGAAAAGAGGTGTTGCTCTGACTCCTGACAGCAGACAATAAGGGACACCGTACACTTACACAAACGTAGTGAGGCACAGTTAATACAGAAAAGTGTCAAAATGCACCTGGATCAGCTAAAACATAACTAGCGTGACAAAGCCTTTAAAGCATGACAACATTTGGATAATGTTATCATTTCTTTTCATCTATATTTTATTCCGAATTTTTTTTACATTGTTCAATCTAATTCTCTCATGAGTTTTAGACAAAAGCAACCACTAATTCATTCATTTTTATGCTCATTACCTATGTACATGAATAGTCAGCATCGCAGCAGGCATTTAGGTGATGGAGAGGAAATCCCATGGACAGGTCAGCTGTCCACCACAGGTCCAACACATGGACACTCTCAAAATGACTGTTTCAGGGTCACCATTGACCTAATCAGGTCATTGGATTCAAGCCCATTCAAACCCATATAAATACAGAAACAAGCAAAATCCAGAGATGACAGCGCTGATCAATTTAGAGTCTTTTGTCTTTTCAAATATATACGTTTTTTTGTGCTTTGGGTAACTGTGTTTATGCCCTTCATTACTGTGAATGTCATGGTATTAATGAGTTTTCTTCCACAGCTCTAAATGGCAGTGAGTTCAGTAACTGTAACCCATCTGTTGCTGTGTGCAGGGCTGACCCTAATATTTATGGGGCCCTGGCCATAATCTGGACACACTACCCAACAAAGACACACACACACACACACACACACACACACACACACAAATGATGCTTAAGTCCTTCGTTAACCTTTCTTTTTGCCTTCATTTTGTAGATTCTAGTAGATTTAACAGGTTAAATGAACAAAGGATTATATGTTTCACCTGGATTAACATACTTAGTCTGCTCCGTGAGAAGAGCAGGTGTTTTATACGCAACAATGATTAGAAAGGTCAGACTTTCTACTAGAGTCAGTGTGTGTCCTTTCGCAGCCATGTGTGCTTTTTGTGGTGTCCTTTAGAAGTATTGAACCCATACCTGCTCCCTCATTGTAAGTTACCATAGATAAGAATGAATAATATGTTTTAATTAAAGACAAGCACAACAGTCATATGAAAGAAAGCTTTTTCTCATTTACACACAGTATCTGTTCAAGCAGCTCATGCATTATTTTCTCCACTCCACATTATGCTAAATATGTGATATTTACTTTAACTTAGCCAAGTAATACTTCAGGCAGATCATTTCCTAATGCTTGGAGGGGAAAGCTCAGATCAGCAGCTGACAGAATAACCTGCAGCAGCAGTGAAGAGGAGCATGATAGCATCCATAGGCTGCTGTCAGTGATCAGGTTTATATAATGAATACTATAAATATGCTAAGAGGCAGAGCGCATCGACATTTTTTTTTTACTGTGGTGACATTTTGTAATAAGCCCTGTCTGGATTTACGAGAGTTGCGAGCAGAGCCTGGGAGCTTGCTTTCTAAGTATAATCTAAATAACCTACATATCTGTATAACATACACATTTCCTAAACAGTGTAATACTCTCGTTATGTGATCTGACTTTACCGTTACCTGCCTGTAATTTAAAGCACATCCAGCCTTGTTATTTGACTGCAGCCCATAATTCACATAACTCGGAGATGTTTCTTCTATGTAGCATCTAGATTTTTGCAGCAAATTACAAACACATGTATATTATATCTATTGTCACAACATGGCGATTATGTAAGGGAAGGGTAAATACTAATCTAGTCAATTACAAGTGGCTTTTTAGCCTAGTGTGCCTTTATTGATGGTAATGTTGGACTGTTGTTCCAACACTTTGGTCCAGACTATATCACAACAAGTATTTGATGGATTGTCATGCAATTTGGTACAGACATGCATAGTCCTGAGTGGATTAATCCTTCTGACTTTGGTGATACCAAAGAGTTTTCCTCTTGCACCACCGGCAGGTCAGTGCTTTCACTTTTACAGTGAAATATCTCCACATGTGTGTGTAGATTGGGACAAAATTAATACAGATATTTTTAAGTGAAATGTCACATAAACAATTTGATGAATTTTCATGAAATATAGTACAGATATTGATGTCCCCGTTTTGCCAAATACTTTGGTTTGGACCTAATACCCCCAAAACGTAGGATATTTCCATCAGCTTCAGATGCGCTTAGTTTAGCGCAATCAGCAAATGTTAGATACTTAGATCGTGAACATAGTAAACATTATATAGATTATCAGCATATTAGCATTGTCATTGTGAGTATGTTAGCATGCTGATGTTACCATTTAGCACAAAGCAGCACTGTGCCTATTCTACAGTCCCACAGAGTTGCTAGCATGGCTGTGGACTCCTAGACTTGTTTGTACCTTAGGTACATTAGTATAACGCATTCAAAGATTTGTGAACTTCTTATATATTTTTGGTTGTAACAACATTTTGCCTTCAGGGTAAAAGGAAATATCCTGCATTGCTGCAGTGTGCTCAACAGGTTTTCTCATTTTATTGCAGTGAAGTTTGGTAATCCTGTTCAATCCATCTTCCATGTACCACAGAATCCTTTTGGTTTACTGGCTCTACAAGGCCAGCCATAAATGCCAGCAACAGAAAAAACAAACAATGTTTTTTCCCAATATGAACGTGAAATTTCATCACTGTTCATGTGTAGCAGCATTTCCTAAAGATCCTTCTTCATCAGTGCAAGTCCAAGTTTCATTCTACAAAATGGAAGGAAGAAATTTGAGATGATAGGTTCTTTGGTCTAGAATCAAATAATCATAGCACTGGTCAATCACTACTGTATAAACGATATCAGATTATGGTTTAGATTATTATATTATGGTAGAGCTCACTGTGCCTTGGGAGCAGAGGCGAAGGGAGGCTTCAGAGAGACATGCAAGCCTTGCAGGAAATGGTGATATATGAGAAGCGATGAAGTATGTAGGTGAACCCCACTGAACTAAACTTCGCCTTCTGCTACGGAAATCAATAGAATCTTTCACCCGTGCTTGAAAATATCTTGTAATGACAACTGTGTGATTTTCTTTTAGTTAATGCTGACATCAGGTAGTGAAATTTATCAAAGAATGCTGTCAGGATAAGTTTGTTTTCTGTTGTCCAAGTCGGATGTACCCCTGTTGCTTTGGCTAAATTCATATAAATTCTTGCAAATTTCTTCTGCATATGCATTTTTTCATACTGTAGCCCATTCAAAAACTATAATTTGAAATGTTAAAGTTATATAAACCTAAACCAAAGGATTTTAGATTTCAAAAAAACTTCATCCAACATCACTTTTTACAATCAAAAGGTTGTGTTT